TCAAAAACAATTACCCTCAACTATCACAATTCCAGATTCGATACCTGTATCTAGCCAGGGCACATCTGAGAGTGATCAGTTTCCAGACTCGATTCCTGTATCTAGCCAGGGCACGTCTGAAGAGTTCGAAGATTCGATTCCTGTATCCAGCCAGGGCACATCTATCAACTACATCATCTCCAGATTCGGTTCCTGTATCCAGCCAGGGCATATCTGTTGACCACGTTTCCAGACTCGATTCCTGTATCTAGCCAGGGCACGTCTGAAGAGTCCGAAGATTCGATTCCTGTATCCAGCCAGGGCACATCTATTAACGACTATTTCCAGATTCGACTCCTGTATCCATCCAGGGCACATCTGTGAGCAACCAATTGTAGATTCGATACCTGTATCTAGCCAGGGCATATCTTCATAAGGAGACTGAAGATCAAACACCTGTAACAAGCCAGGAAAACATCCGTCTTTCTCAAATATACAAGTTCTCGCTAAGGAATCTCTTATGCGATCGACACTTCCAAATGGCATCTATAAGCCCATTCCCGACAAGGTTCTGTCACATCTCCTGATGGCATCTATAAGCCCATCTCCCTATCCACCACCTCTCCAAATGGCATCTGTAAGCCCATTCCTGACATCACATTGCTAATACTTCAACATGCGAGTGCAAATTTCCGGGCACTCTAGTGTCCAATCTCCTTTTACCCTCGAGTCACGAAAGGCAAACTTGCCAATCTAACTCTTCAGGTCCAAGAAGATTGAACAGGGGCAACTGTTGTACCCCAAAATTTGCCCTCCCATTTCCTCAACATTTTCTCATCACAAGACCTTTGAAGATCAAGATCCAGTTAGGGTTTCCTCTGCTCAAGACTTCTCCTTGCACTGTGGACTCAAATTAGGGTTTGTGTTTGCCCAAGGATGTTTTGATCTAAAATGCCTAAGATGACTTTCACGCTTCATGTTGGACTCCCAAGTTTACCCATGCCAAGTTTCAAGTCTTGATTCCAAGTTTTGCTCAGTCAATTGGACAGTTGACCTAGAAATCAGTTGTATTGGGGAAAAAGTCAACTGTGGCCAATTGACAGTCAAACCTCATGAAAATTGACCCACATCAACATATTGAACTCATATGGACCATTTGATCAAGTTTGGATCACAATTCTCCAAGAAATTTGATCAGATCACCAAAAGGGCAAAATGGTCATTTTTAGGGTTTTGACTGTACAAAGGCAATTTTTGACTGTTTGACCTAGACAAGGGCAAGCCAAGCTCACATATGGACTCAAGGACCCCATGGAATTATCTTGACATGCTCAACAAGCTCAAAAGATCCCAAGTACACAAGATTGACAGTTGAATTTTCCAGTCAATTGATCAATTTTGACTGTATACTGAAAAGTCAAACTTTGACTTTTTGGTCAAAATCAAGAGTCAAGATTCATTTTTCATCAAAACATGCCAAATCATGAAACTTGTTCACCAAGAAATCACAAAATGCAAATTAGGGTTAGAAAATGGAATTTTTCATAACTTAGAATTTTTCTAAGTTATGAAAAACCCTAATTTTTTCCCAACTTTGCCCCATCTTTTCACCAAGATCCATTTGGATTCAAACAAAAGTCAAAACATGAAAGTTGTAGCTTGTTGCATAATCTACAACTTTTATTCACAAAGTTTTCTCATTTGAAGCTTGTATCTCAAGTTACAATTTTTTGAATAAGGGCACTAAACCATTTTTAACTTAGTGAAATTTTAACCTATTTTGACAAGGTTTTCTACCCCACTTCAAGGCCATTTTCCATACCCTTCCACTTGGAATTTCAACTTGAATTTCAAAGATGGATTGTAATACACATTCCAAGCTTTCCAAAATGTCCAAGAACTTCTCAAACAACCTCATAACTTGAGAGATTCGAATTTCACAATATAGCAAAAACTCACCTTTGAATTGGCCATTTTCCATGTTCATAGTTTGTGTAAACTTCTCTAAATCAGCATGCCCTTGATTACAGGTCCTTGAACCATTCCATACTCAATAATTTAATGCATATTCAATGTGTTAAAGTGTTGTTCTTTGAGTGCAAGCATTGTATGCAAGATTAATCCTAAACTAGATAAAGTGAACTTTCCATTTTTGAAAAGATTAGCTTTATGTCAATTTAGAAATCCAACAAGTACAAGCTAAATCCTTTTGGCAAAAGATTATGGACAAGTTGCTCTGATCAAGAGAAGATTATGCAGCACATTAGGAGGCCCCCTACTGACCTAAACCATCAACTTGCTTTTGTTGCTTAAGAGAGAAGAAAAGTTCCATAACTTGTACCAACTTCAATCTCAGCTCACTAACACAAGAACAAAGTTATCAAACACCTTCCATAGAACATAACCAAGCCAAGACACGACCTTTGCACCTCCAAAACACCCTCCATCTCAGAATCATCCTCAAACTGCAAAAACAGAGTTGCCTCTGCAGTTTGAGTGCCAACTCCCATTTCTCTCGAGCATTCTTACCAAAATCAATTCATACACATTCCCTAGCATATATGCAAGCTAACCATGACCTAAAACCTGACCTGTAATCCCTCTAACAGCTTCCACCATTTTCATTTTTTCCTTTTGCAGTTGAAGTTCCACAGCTCGATACAAGAAGTTTTAAGACAAAGTAAGCATTGAAACAGCATCCCTGGACCTCAAGGAAGCTTTTCCAATCATTACCTTGCATTAGAAGTTCCTCATTCTCCAGATAGAAGTTCAACTGCACAGGTAAAACTTTGAACTCGTATCTCTCTTATCATGTATCTTTAGTCTTAAGTTTGTGAAGAAACAAGGTTCTACTCATAGCCCTGAACATGTACATATCTTTACATTTCATTTCTTTTGCCTGAGTAGAGAGAATTTGGAGTTTAAAAATGGCAGAAAAACTAGGTTAGGATTTGGGGGAGGAGAAATTCTCCCTCATCTTAGAGAGTTAGGTCAAGTTCCATACATGGTTAGAATCGTCTCTTCATGCTGAACATTTGTTGTGTTATGAGTTTTTGTTAAAAAGCCAGGAATCGAGAGTTGGACATTGAAGAACAGGGGCGCGCGTTTTTTTCAAATGTTTGTGCTGGAGGTTGAAGACAGTGATCTTTGGGCTGGGCCTGTGCATTTTTTCTTATTCACACCACTTAATTACTCATGAACCCCCTGAGCCCATTTGCTTCATTTTTTAATATTTTTGACTTTTTCTTTTTTTGTTTAACTTGTTTATTTTTTCTCAGCATATTAAAATTTTGAAAATATTTTTCTCACCACTTTTTGATTTTTATTTGATTTTCCTTTAGTTAATACATAAATACATATATATATTATTATTTAGGATAAATAGAAAAATATGTAAAAACACTTCTATTTTTATTTTTTATTTCATATTATCCTCTGAAAATATTTCATATAAAAAATACTATTTTTCAAAAAAATTAATTATTATTATTATTTGTATATAATGTATATTTAAGAACTTAATATATGTATATATATATATATATATATATATATATATGTTTATTAATATATTTAAGTTAAAATATAAAAATACTTGAATTTTTCATTTTTATTAATATTTGATACAAAAAAAAAAAATACTTTTTCATAATATACTTCATTATTTTTATTTTTATTTTTGTACATAATAAATAAATGTTTGTATTAAATTAAACAATAATACATTTTCCTTAATAAAATTAGGGTTTTTGCCCTAAATTCAAAATACTCCAAAAAATAATGTCTTTAATATTTTTCACATAAATGACACTTTTCCTTTTTTCATACATATACAAAACATTTTTGCATCTTGCATTTTATTCCATTTTTATTTATTTAATTATTGTACATTATTTACATTGCAAATATTCAAAATTGATGTAATAGTTTTAGGTTTACATTACTTGTCAATATCTCCATTTGAACATTTGTACCCCCCTTCCCATATTTGGTTTTGTAATAGCTTAGTAAATTTATTTTCGCACTTTATTGCTTTCTAATGATAACATGTTAGAATTAGGGTTTGCATGCGAAAAACGATAAAAAATAGTTGGACCTAATACAAGATGAATGAGCATGAAAATAAACAACACATCTCACACTTGCACCCCTAGGGTACTCCACTTTGTTGCCTTTCAAAATTAGGCCATATTGTATGTTGAACTTCTTTGGGCAAAGCAAACAATTTGAATGATCATAGTCCCTCGATAAAACTTTTCAAAACAAACAAATATAAATGATCAAGTCCCCTAAAGAAAATTGCCCAAAGACATTTAACGCCGTTGCAATTATGGTCTAAACGATGACCCGCGCCTGTCCCTTTCACATCCTAACACAAGGTTGTCCACCAAATACAGTGGTGGAACAAACTTGTTAAAAGGGTTAAAACATAGCAATAATCTTTTGAGAAATTTAGGAGTAGATAACCTTTTAGTTACTTGAATCAAACTTGCAAAACAAAACACTTGCCTAATTTCAAAACCATACATCACTACACTTTCAAAACAAACTTTCAAAAACAAATGAAAACCTTTTCAAAAGACATACACCTTTGTATACATCCCCACATGGATCATTACAAAGGTTGCCACCACATTGGCTTCTTTTCAAAATATTTTCAAACCCACACACTCAAGCACCATTTAAAACAATTGAAAGAAAAAGGCAAGTGATCTAAGCAAGTAACTAAGATCCCGTGGATAACCATGGATAGAAAGGGTGCTAATACCTTCCCTTTCTATAATCTACTCCCCGAACCCAAGAAAACATCTCAAAAGGTTTTTGCTGTGCTTTTTAAACCTTTCCTTAGGATAAAATAAAAAGTCGGTGGCGACTCTTGCTCAACCGAAACATTTGCGAATACAAACGCAAAACCATAGTCAGTTCTCCCACCGTATCACAACCGGTCACCAGTGTTTGATGACGTGGAACAGGGAAAGGCTCCAAGTGTGAATTTCTTTGTGAATCAACGTCCATATAATATGGCATACTATCTAGCTGATGGTATCTACCCTTCTTATCCAACTTTCGTCAAATCGATTAGACTTCCTCAAAGTGAACCCGATAAATTATTTGCAAAATTTCAGGAGGGATGTCGGAAGGACATCGAACGTGCATTTGGAGTGCTCCAAGCTCGATTTAAAATCATCCGTGAACCAGCTCGCTTGTGGGACATAGCTGATTTGGGTATCATCATGAGGTCATGCATCATATTACATAATATGATTGTTGAGGATGAACGAGATTCATATTCTCAACGTTGGACCGATTTTGAGCAGTCTGGGGAAGTGCACCACAACCATACTCGACCGAGGTGTTACCCGCTTTTGCAAATCATGTGCGTGCTAGATCAGAGTTCCGTGATCCAAATGTTCATCAAGAATTGCAAGCCGATCTAGTGAAGCACATATGGACAAAGTTTGGAATGTTCCGTGATTGAATTATTTGTGTGTTGTATTGCATTTTAAATTATTTGTATCGTACTAATTACGTTACTTGTGTGTTGTATTGCATTTTAAATTATTTGTAACGTACTAATTACGTTAATTGTGTGTTGTATTTTAAATTAATTTAAGATGATTTGTATCGTATCCAATTATTTAAATAAATTTTGTTTTTATTACAAAAAATTAAAAAATAAATTATTAAGTATTTATTATTTTAATTTAATTTTAATCGATAATTGTAATTTTATGTAATCATAAAAATAAAAATAAAATTTAAATAAGAATATGAAAATAAAAAGTGGTGGGGTAGGGTGTTGAGTGAAAAACCATTAGAGAGGATAAAAGTTGAATGAGTGTTGAGTTATTAGGTGGAAGAAAGAGAAAATGATGTGGAGTATTGGGAGTTGAAAAAGTGGGTGTTGAGTTTTTCAACCATTGTAAATGGTCTTAGGGATATGCCACCAAAACTACCACTTAGGACCTCACTTTTTTTAAATATTTATATGGTTTTATTTAATAGACTTTTTCAAAATAAATTATTTTAAATAATAACGTATATTAAGAATTTATGATAATAACAATCCGGTATACATTATATAATAATTGATTAATTTAAAAAATCAAGTAATTTTAAATTTGTAGAAGGTTTATATAGGTTTACCGTGGTTTTACTATAGAAAATAAATAAGAATTCTATTTTATTATCGTAAAATAATAAATATTTTTTAGATTTTTTTTAACCACGACTTAACCGTGAACATTTTATAGCCTTATGTGATAAACTGTCTTATACACATTTAAAGATGAGTCTTTTTAAAACCTTATTTATAAATAATAATTTTAAATTCTCTTACATAAAAAAATACTTGGAAATTAAGTTTCTTTTTAAATATTTTTCGAATTATTATATTTTTAAATGATGGACAAAGTGTTTTGATGTGTTGGTTTTATAATCAATTGAAAATAAAATATTTAATAAAATTAATTGGAATAATTTAATGATTTTACATTCTAAAAAACCTATAATTAAAATATATTATTCTAAAATAAAAATATTTTTATTATATTAAAATATTTAAATACATTTTTGCCTCAGACCTCAATATGTGTTGGATCGGCCTTGAAATTTTAGTGTGGAAATGATCTTTTATAAATGATATTTCTCTTTTCAATTATAATTTTTATGAATTTAGTAAAATTTCTTTGCTTTATTTAATTTAAGTTGCATTTGGATAAAATTTCTTGCAAAAGTATACACACAAATCCAATATTTTTGGTGAATTATCAGTCAATCACGGACGACTTTGACACCCAAAATAAAATAAATTTGAAGTACCTGCAAAATGCAACTTCTCTTAGCATAGTATTAATTGGTCAAACTCGACAATTTTGACTCCAACAAACTACTATAAAATTGAACTGTTGCACTTTGAGTTGGTCAAACAAAAAACGTGCCTATTGATATTATGTATGTAGCACTAACACACACCACTACATCAAACACTGTTTTCGAATTATAGAATGTTTTTTTTTTTTTTTGATAATTTGATTCTAGAAATTGTAGAAACCTTCTAAACCATTAAAGTCAGCTGGACCAAGCATATTCGTCCACGTGTTATATAACTCCAAAAATAAATCTTCACATCCTCCACAAAATAATATCTGTTGACAAAACAGTGTTTCATGGAAGGTTCTTATTGGCAATATTTTAAGATTGGATAGAGTCATGTAACCTACGCGTTTTGCCGTTGAAATTAACTGTTGAACACTATTCTTTTTCTTAAAATGATTTCACCCAAGCTGGACCCAGTTATAGATACTAAACTTGAAAATTGCTTCTAAAAATAATTCATGATTAATTCATTTTAATGAAGTGGCAGACTACAAATGTTTGCAAGTTGCATATAAGCCTTATGTATTTTGGAGTCACACAGTCAACACGTTAGTTCAATAATAGAAGATTTTAATTTCAATCTTTAGTAATCTAAAAGAATCTTTAGTAATTTAAAGATTAGTGATTAACTGTTGTCGGCTTAAATTAGTTATTAGAAAGTTAGTTTTTTTTGTTAGCTTGATTTCCTTTATCGATAATTAAGTTAGTTAGAAGTAATTTTTAAAAATTGGACGGTAATTAAATCGATGAAGATATTGGATTATTGGTTTATTGGTCGAATAATTGAGTTATTGGTCGAACCGTATGACAAAATTGAATTAAACTGGATAACTCGGTTGAATAAATCAGTTTCTGTCACAAAATGATAGAGGGATATAATAATATTTATAATATTAGTTATTGGTATTGTTATTGGGCTTTAGTTGTATTTGAATTTTTTAGTTTTATTATTCATTATTGATGTTATATAATGTAGTGTCTTTGACACATTTGAGATATCAAAGAAATCAATGACGTTTATTTTTAATAGTTTAGTTGTTAAGATAAGTCAAAGATATTCTACCGGTTCGATAGCCTATTCGGTCCAACAATCAAATTGATCAATGACCCCTCTAATTTCCAATTAGACCGGTACGATCGACCAATTCGATCTAATTTTTAAATCAATGAGGTAGAGTAATTATTTTCATTCCTTTCCCGCATGACTACATTTACTCTCATATTTTCTTTCACACACATTGATAGTTAATAATGGTTGATCACATAACCATTCATTTAGAATATTTCAAGGATTTTGTACTTATTCAAAAATACTTTGTTTATATTCTTTTTCTCTTTTTTCTTATATTCACTACTACAAATAAATGATTTTATTTTAGTATAGTGAATAAATGATTTTATGTTGATTGAGAATTGAATTTCATCTCAGTTTAATGGATGATAACATGTATTTTTCATTCTATATATTTAGTTTAATTTCTAAATATTTTAGTGTTGTTTGTGTTACTTTTACCATTTATATTAGTTTTGTATTTTGTATTTTAGGTACTGATCAAACGATAATGATTGCAGAAAAAAATAGAGAAAAATAGTAAAAACGGCATAAAAATACAAGTTTTAGAATGTCAAGATGGTAGATTAGAACGTCAATTATGCCTCCTTAACAACTTAACCGTTAGTCATTCAAAGTCTCGCTTTGAAGCAATTATCTTATTCTAAGATTCAACATTTATATAATTTCTAGGTTCATTTACCTTGCTCTTTTTATTGTGTGTTCATCAAATACACATTATCTAAGTTCTTGTTTCGCCATACTTAAGTAGATTTATTTAGGATTCAAAACTACTATGAGGCTCGTTTAACGGTAAAATTTATACGAAATGCTTAATTAATTAATTATAATGAGAATAAAAAGTTGTTTTGCAATTTCAATTTAGATTATTATCATTTTTGTCATCGGTCATATAGGCCACTTTTACACCTTATTTTTAATGTTTACATGTTATATATATATATATATATATATATATATATATATATATATATATATATATATATATATATATATATATATATATATATATATATATATATATATATATATATATATATATATATATATATATATATATATATATATATATATATATATATATATATATATATATATATATATATATATATATATATATATATATATATATATATATATATATATATATATATATATATATATATATATATATATATATATTGTTTTTTTACTATATTATAAATTAATTTTAGAACCTATAGTATATATTTATAAATAAATTGAATTAACTTTTAATATATAATAATAATTTGGAATTAATTTGTAACATATAATATATATTTGAATAAATAAACTGAAATTAATTATTGATATATTATAATAAATTAAAATAAAATTTTAATATATTGTAATAAATTGAAATTAATTTTTAATATATTGTAATAAACTAAAATTAATTTTTAATATATTATAATAAACTGAAATTAATTTTAAACATATTGTATATATTTGAATAAATAATCTAAAATTAAGTTTTACTATATAATAATAAATTAAAATTAGTTTATTACATATAGTATATTATTAAAATTATGTTGAATCAAACATATATGTATTTTCAAAAATAAGTTAGTAATAGATAAATATCATTTTAAAATAAATTATTAATAAATGTATATATTATGTTTTCAAAAATTAAAAGTTTCAGTTTATTCTAAATTTTTTTTTAATATTTTATTAAAAATTATTTTTGATACATTAAAATTAATATCTATTAAAATGTAAAACAATAAAAACCTTACAAACTAAAATTTGATATATGTTGTTAATATTTGATACATATATATTAAAATTTTAATATTATTAAACATAAATTCATTTTAAAATAATATTATTAAATATAAAATAGTTTAAAAATATATAAAATGATTAAAGATTACTAATGATTATTAAGGATTATTTAGGATTATTAATATTATTAAGGGTTATTTAGTATTATAATATTTTACATTTAAATTTATAAATAAATAATTCTGTATTTAATATCATGTAATATTTACAATTCAGCAACAAAATAAATCAAAGAGAACATAATGGTCCGGTGGTAGTACCTCTTTCTAGGAAGATGGAGGGAGTTTTCAACTCTTATTCTACTCAAAATTTTATAGTTTACCATGTTCTGAAAATATAAATAAAATATATCGACGTCACTATATTTATATCAGTGCGCCACATAATCTTCATTTGATAAAATTACTTTTATAAAAAATAATAATTTACATGGGGTAAATCATGACCAATATAACTTTTCTCTTCCAGTGACAGTTTGATCGAAGGAAAAAATGATGCACTTTTCATGACACATTTCATTATCTCGTCTATTGATAGGCTGCAAATATACAATTATATCAATGTAATATAAAAAATTGTCGAATTCAAAAAGACTAATTACAATTATCGCTATCCACGGCTCCTATGTTTAGTTAAGGCTACTCAAAGAATGGAAGTTGTGCGAAAAAACTAATAAAAAGTAATAAACTGAATTTAATTTATAAGATAATAAATAA